TTACTGTCTATTTTTCTTCCTGTTTGACTCTGTGTGGATTTTATGTTCTCTTCTTATTTTATTTTAGTTTAAATCAGGTCTGTCATCTGGGGGGAAAGCTATGACGAGGGGGGTCCGTTAAGGCCTTTTACAGCAGTATTTCTCTATTTGTGGGTCGAGATCCAAAAATGGGCCAAAGGTCTGTTTTGCCTGTGTCACAGAGAGCAGGGAAATATAAGAATAATATACATTTGATAAAATGTAATTTTTTATTAAATTTTTTTTTATGTTAATATAAAAAAGTGTACATTATGTAAATATGTAACTTCTTCATACTATATTTAATTAAATATTTAATGTACAAATGTAAAAATGTATATTTATCTTAAATCATAAATTATATATTGCTATTGTAAGGGAAACAGGTCAATTTAGCTCAAAGGGAATAATTTAAGATTTTAAAGGGAATTTGGACAGAATCACTGTTTTACGGCTGATCACTGAGACGGCCAGCGAGTCAGTGAACGAGCCGCATAACATCAATTCTGCAATGGATATTAATATCCAAAATATAGTGAAAACACTATTAATTAGCACAGTAACAAGATCGGCATTTTAAGACATTAACTTGTAAGCACAAAACACAAGATACTTCTCTTTTCCATATAAATAAGGCTTTATTGGATAAATTTAAGACATATAAACGAATCTAACATATAAGCACACACATTCACACAAGTTGCAGAAAGAGAGAAAGTGAGGAAATAATTAGTTTAAGAGAATGAAAATGTGAAATTCAAGCAAGAAGATTCAAACACACGCATACTAAACATGAATATGAACCCTTAAGCTATTCAATAGTTATTCAAAATACATACACAATAAATGATTAAGACTTGATAGTCACATGTGGGTTACATACATAATATGGAGTTATGCATATAAATGATTAGTTGCTCACAAGTCCTTTTAGTGTCATTTAGGTGCATGGAAAGGCAGTTTCTGTGCCATTCTGTGAATGTATTTGAGTGTATGAAGACCAGAGGTTAAGAGGTCTCTCATAATGAATTGTAGTCTGTTCTCTGTCGTCGAGGTGGGGGAAGTCAATCCAAAGAGCTCGTGATTGTGGTTACTATCACGTGATGGTCATGCTGTCATCTCTCTGACCATTTAATCTTGATTACTTGCCCTAAAATTGACAAGTAACTGAGTTGTTATGATCAGTGTGTTCCTTTTGTGTTAATGTTGAAAGCTGTTCTGTGAAAGAGTTGGTTAGGCTTGCTTCAGACTGACTAGTGCTAGGATCTGATTTATGACATCTTGTGTCTTGGGCCTCTGTGGAATTCGGCTCCTCATGTTTCAACCATGTTTTGACCAAATCTTAGATTATCTGATTCGGTCTGATATCCTATTGAAATTATTTATAATGATCATTTTATTTTATGTATATATATATATATATATATATATATATATATATTATCCTCATAATCATAAAAGTTGAAAATTAGTTAAATTGTACAAATAAAATATTTTTTGTTTATATCTTAAAAATCTAACTATACAGATATATTTAAATTATTTACAGTATATTGATAATTATATTATTATTTAGATGTTTCTTTATCATCATCATATATTTAATGTTGAATTGTGCAAAATATTAAAATATTTGTATTAAGTTTATATCTTTAAAACAATTTATATATACATATTTATATAATTTATATTAATAATTTTATTATATTTTATTTAAATTCTTCAATAATAATAATAATAATAATAATATGTTTAATTAAATATTTAATGTTGAATTTTACAGAAATGTAGCAGAACCATTTGAGAACCACTGCTAAATGGTATAGTTTAGTATTTCTCAACTGGTGGTGTACAACAATGCAAATAATAATACCCAACTAACCATATAATCACACATAATTAAAATGGTTATTATATTAGTAGATGCTGTATCTACATATTTTTCCGTTGACAGCCATTCATTGCATACTTCCGGGGGGGTCTTGCACCAGCCAAACATCTGTCATTGAGATGAATGGGAAAGCTAACTGAAAGCTTTCTCCAGGTATTATAAACCTCCTTTGGCCCACCCATAAAAATTTCATCCGAGGACCTGTGAATTCAAGCGACAGCCCCGACTGAAATAAATGGAGACGTTTGATTGATTAGACCTGCATTTCAGAGAGATTCCTTTGCAAATCAATGACTGCCTGCATGTAAGTGTTAATGAAATTGCACACCGGCAGAAGTGAGTTGATTCTTTCCATGACAGAGTTAAGGGTCCTGTGGAGATCTTCCCTCTTTTAACGTCTCCATGAAAATGTCATTTGATTCTACAATTTTACAGCCAGTGAAGTGTCTCCAAGTTGATTCATTTATTTATTAGTAAATGAAAGTAATGAAATGCTTAAACACATTTCAATAGCGCTGTTTTGTGCTGCTTTGGCTTTATTGCCTACTGAGTGCCCACAAAAATGTACTTATTTGATGCTTTTACAATATGTTGCAAAGCATGGACCCTCTTAATTTATAAGCCCCCGGCTGAATGAAAATGGAAAAATATCTGCTTTCCTCTCAGGCTTGATATTACGTTTTGAAGCACAATGTTGAAAGGGCTGTAATTCATTATTAATGCTCACAATATAAATAGTTTAGATCTTATTAATATTTCATTGATGGTAGAAAAAAAGATTTGAGTGACTGCTACAGCATTGGAAAAATTGTAAATATATTATAAAGACAGCTCATAGGAAATATCGCCACTAGGAAAAGCAAATGTAAACACACGTATGCCATATGTGTTTCTTTTAATATCATTTCTGCTTCAGTCACCGTGCATGATATTTAACAAAGGAGTCCAGCGGCCTTGTTAAATATGTACCTGGATGATGGTGAGGACTAGTGCACGTGCCTAGCGTGAATATGGTTGGCTCTCTGGGCTGTGTGTCATAAGGAGATAACTTATGTTTCCCCTTCTAGGGAACTCAACGCTGCGCCCCCTAGGAGGCTGCATTCACCAATGTGCCCTCTAGGGGGCGCAGCGTCTCGTTCCCTCTCGGGGAACCATGGTTACATATGTAACCCAAGACGTTCCCCTTCTAGAGACCCAACGCTGCACCCCCTAAGGGGAACATTGGGGAATGCAGCCTGCTAGGGGGCGCAGCGTTGCGTTCCCTAGAAGGGGAACCATGGTTACATATGTAACTCAAGACGTTCCCCTTCTAGGGATCCAATGCTGCGCCCCCTAGGGGGAACATTGGGGAATGCAGCCTGCTAGGGGGCACAGCGTTGAGTTCCCTCTCGGGGAACCATGGTTACATGCGTAACCCGAGACGGTTTTATGGATCTTTTGAGCACTGTAACCGCCATCACAACAGAGATCTTTAATCTCACTGATGTGTGTTTGCCATCGCATTGGGACAGTCCTTGAGTAGGGGTCAGGTGATAATCTGTAAATGCTGGGATGCGGGACCCTGAGAAAAAAATGGAGTATAAGCTTTTAAAGATCATTAAACATTAATACAGTGTGATTTGTGTGTCGAGCCCTTGTGCTGAATTTCGTCTACATCATTATAGAATTTAATCTCAGGGACCCTCAGAAGTGGCTCCATGTCAAACAGGAGATCAGATTGTAAGCGCCTTTAGAGGAACTGATTAACTTCTGGTTTGCACAATTGCTCGCAGGCTGAAGGCCGAAGTGTTTTATCTGTATCCGCTTGAAGCCCCTAAATAAATTGGCTAAATTGGTTTTCGGACCAGCTGAGTCCAGACTTGGCAATTTTCTTCTGCCAACACATTGCATGTGGAGACGTCCTCATGTCCCCCTTTTTCCAGAATGGTCATCAAACTGGAAAATGATTGACAGGAGGTGTCAGTAGTTGATTTTGCCAGTAGATGGCAGTATTTCCTAAGTACTGCAGATTGTTTTTCAGTACACTGAGACAGGCCAAGGTTCAGCATTTTTGACATACTGTTTAGGGGATATTTTAATGGCTTTCCTTCTCTACCATGGCTTGTCAGGCCGAATATATCTTACTAGTTATACTGTTGTTTGATCCTGTGGTAATAAAACAGAAACTCTGATTAATATATATTATAAATTAATATAGAATGTGCGTTTATGACATTTTACAGCAGTTTGAAGGCAGCTCATCCGATCAAAATTAAGTCTGAGCTTTCAGTTTTTCAATAGATATTTGATCAACTCTACTATGCCACACCGAGCAAGAGAACACATTCATCACAGTCTTGTCAAACAATGCAAAAGATGAACATTAGAGGGAGCACTTTTCACACAGACAGACGCTCATTTACTGATAAACGTCTCCTTGTCTTTTTGAAGGAATTTCTCATTGCTTAGAGTTGAAGACTGAATTTGGCAGTCCAGTCACTGATGTAAGAGATGATCATAATTACAATAATATGTATCAAAAAATCTAAACTTTTCTGCAAGCTAATATTATGCAATTTTCTATGTGAGACATAGAATGAAAATCTGGAACAATCAGTACAGACCATTCCTGTTATGTATTGCCTTTTGAGCTCCTGTAACTTGTGTTGTAATGTCTGGACTTATTTCTATAAATTACAGTATTAACTTCGAGATCAGGCTATGCTATTATACAATAATATAAGCATTATTATAATACTAAACAATATTTTTTATTTGTTTGTATTAAATTTAATATACCAATTTCTGCATATTTGATTTGAAAAATTTCAAATCTGAAATATGTCCAAATAAAGCCCCTCTTGTTTTTTGAGTCACCCAAGGGCATGATAAATATAACATCTGCTCAAACCAATGTAAAGTTCACATAACATGTGACACTGTTTACAATGTATTATATTTTTAAATAATATTTTACCAGAAATATTTTAAAAATATATTTATTTTAATAAGTCAAATATGTATTGTTAAAGACACAATTGAATGGAACTGAACAACATTTAGTTATTACTTAAAATAATATGCTAACATTTTTCCCTGTCTTTCTTGCAGAATCTTGGTTTGGAAGAGCAGAAGAAAACCTTTAAATACAAATTTAAAAATAAACCTCCTGTACAAAGAAACGGTAAGGAGTTGCTCAGGTAATGCATCGATTTCATTCAATTGTAATGAAATCGGCAAATACATGGATTTTTGAATGTTTCCTCACACCTCTACATCTTTTTAAAAGGTGAGGTACACTGGACAGACAGAACTCGCTCAAGTCTTCTGGAAGTGTGGCAGCACGTGGTCACATGACCTGGAAGAGAAAACCCAAGAGACTTCTGGGATCCCTCTCTGGTTAGTGACACCATTTTATAAATCTCAAAACATATTTTTTGGTTAAAAATTCACAGAAATGTTTGACATTAAATAGAAGCCGATGTTTTTGGCCACTTTTTTTTTGTTCCTGATGAACGATTCAGTTAACCATGCGATAAGTAAATCAGCACACATATGGCTTGTGTGATTTCACCCGTGCTCTTGAGGCAAACCCCCTTTCGCTACACAGAGATGTGGTGAAGGTGTAACGTATGGCAGCCTCGCGTGACTGACAAACGTGGCATAAACTGACATGATGACACAGTGTGTTGTTTTGATTTGCCCTTTTACCTGCAGAATGGGCCGGTTATCAACCTGGAAAGAAGTCTAAAGGCTGATGAACTGATCCGCACAGCGACACAGCTGCGCTCTCTTACCCTCTTCGTCTGTCCAATCTCTCCATTTATGTCCTGAGATCCACAATTTTCTGCAACTCTGGTGAGTACCGTGCCCTTTTTCTTTAGTACCCCTTCTAATCCTTCTAATCTTGCTGAACTGGTTCTTGCAGGTTCTTCTCAGGCCCACTGTCCATTTTTGAGCAGGAAATGCCATTATGGGAAATGGGATGACCTTTTGCATTGGCAATCTATTGATGAATCAACATCCATTCGGCTGGGAGCTTTCGCTGAGTGTTGTAGACCTTGAAGCGCGTGGGTTCATTTCTGTGCTGAATTCAAAGTGCACAGCGTATGGATTGATTTTTTCCCCATTGAATGTTATGAGCATGTTTCTGAAGGAGAGAGTCATTTGCAGTAGTATGGGAAATTCTGACTGAGATATATTTAGCCGGTGTGACGCGAGACTTTCTCGCTGACTGTGCTTGCAGTTCAGGGCCTGGTTGATTCTGACTGAGCGAATGGCGTAGAAACTAGGCTAACTATCATAATGAATATTAATTGAGGATGCATGTTTGCATCTGTCGCCATGAGTAGGTCCAGAGGTTTCCGCCGTCTCTCTGCGCATGATGTTGCGTCAAAGTTACTTCCTTCCCACCGACTTCTCTCAGACACCTCAGAGGGAACTCTCAAGGGAGTTTTTGTCCTTTGTCATTGAGAGTAGTTTTGCCACATTGGCAGCTTTTGCTCAAGGGCGATCCGTGTAGGGACTGCGGAATAGTGCATTAAAAATAACTTGCATGAACCTTCGAGAGCTTGTGCCACACGTTGGCTCATGTTGGTGGTGAAAGGGGATGCCGACGCTTTGTCACGATGTAATGGCGAGCTCATCCTGACAGGCTTCGCTTAGATGCTGAGAAATGCTTTGGATTGGTTAGTAGACAGGCACTCAAAGTAGAGCCATTTTAACCAGCACTGACACGTCATGTGAACGAATCTAATCATATGTCCTTTCATGATAACACAGCTATTGTATGTACTACACAGAGATAAGGTGTAGATGACTTTTCACCCCAAAATCACAGGGATCTTTTTGATTGTGACATTAAACTGAACTAAGTTATTAAATTAAACACAAGTTTCTCACCGAATTCTCATTACCATAATGCAGAGGTTCTTAACCTTTTTTGACCTGATGCCCCCCTACATAGTGTAATATAGTTCTGTTAATATTATGCTATGTAGGGGGGCTTCAATTATATATTACATTTAACTATATTATTAACAAAAACTGGGAAATGGGTATATATGTTAATATAGGTATATTAATTATCACAATTAATTTTGTGATTCTAGAAACTTCAGTAGTTATTGAGGGAAAAAAGAAATGTGTTTTCATTTTATGTCTTGATTCTGTATGTATGTATCTTGATTTTAATGTAGTTAGATAATTAAAACAATAATTAATACTAAATAATATTACAATTAAGAATATATTAATATACATTTTAATTTAATTATATAATATGTAAGCTGCCGTAATGTGTCTAGATGGTAATTCTCATTAAATATTCATTACTGTAATACAGTAGTTTTTTTCTCTATCAAAGTAAAATAATACTGCAATTAAGCATATTTTCCCACAACATCTCATTTCTGTATTGTGACAGTGATTATGTTCATTCTCAATGGTGACAAAATATTTTTATACACTACTGTTCATAAGTTTTGGGTTAGTATTTAGCATGAAAACATTTAATTGATCTAAAGTAAAGTGTTTTTACAGTGTTACAAAAGATTTGTTTTTCAAATAAATGCTGTACTTCCTGTTCATCAAACAATATCATGGTTTCCTTTAAAAATATTAAGCAGCAGAACTGTTTTCAGCATTGATAATGAGTATTTCTTGAGCACCAAATCAGGATATTAGAATGATTTTTGAAGGATCATGTGACACTAAATACTGGAGTAATTTATTTATTTGTTTGTTTTGATTTGATGTGAAATATGACCTTGATGTGTTCTTGACAGGTTTCATGCTAATTAACCTACAGAGCAGTGTAAAATGTTTCACAGCAAGCTCTCCACATGTCCATAAACTCTGTTTGTTTCTCAGTCAGTGACAGCAGCAAAATGTTCTTCTGTCTCAAAGCGTCTCCTTTTTTATGAAGTTTCTCTGTGAAAGTCAAGGTTGCTTGGGGAAAAAGATATAAGAAACATGGCGCAAAAGACATAAAAATTGTACACAGTCTGGGGAGGATAGATGAAGAGGCTTGTGTGTAGTTAACATGCTGGAGTGCTTCCTGTCTCGGCTGCATGCTTTTGACTTTTCGGGTATTTTGGCTTAAATGATTTTCTTGTCATCTGGGCACACATTAAAGGCAAGCCCATCTGTGACTATGGGATGAGTGAATGCAGGGCACATGCAGATTACTGTTATTAACATCTCAGTGCCACCATTATCAGTTCAGCAGGGACTGGAGTCCCCTGTTTGTCATAGTTAATGTTTCCAGTGCAGTCAAAGCCTGACTTATGATAGACTATTTCACTCCTGTTTCAGACTAACTCCATCTGGTGTGTTGTGTGGTCTTGACTCTAATTTGTTATTCTTTAGTATTCATGTATTCATAGTACGCAGCTTGAGCATATTCACTTGTGTTTGTTTGTGGGAGCTTGGATGATTTTTTTTTCTTGCTTGCATGCACATCTAGAGATTTCGTAACTAATTGAACTTCTCTTAATTTATGCAGAGCATGACACCAATGACCATGCATGCAACTTATGTAAACATCATCGCAAATCGATACATTCAGGCTCACTGCAATGACTGTTTTTCTAGTTACAGAATGCATTTGCATGAGCGGAGTGCAGTGCAGTGACTCCTCCGGCACATGATTTTTATAGTGTGACTCCATTGTAAAAGTCTTTTTGCAGTCATTTTAAATCTAAAGTATGTTATAATTGGCTCATGATGTGAATGGAAAATTGACCTAATTATTGCCATTACAATAGCTCACTTTTAATGTTTTTTAGTGATTCATGACTCAACGCAGCACAGAGGGTGCATGAACATGCCCGGTCATAAAAACATCATATTACATCTTGGAGGTCGAGGATTATTTCTGTACTTACAGAGCTCAGCTGTAAGGATTTCTGGTGGTTCAGATTTTGTAACATTGGGAACACTTCAAATTGACACTTCAACACTTCAAAAAAAAAAAAAAAGTTAGTTATTTTTTATCAATGTATTTTTATATGTGCCAGAAAAAAATATATTTGATATTTTATAATTCATGTATTTTAATTAGTGTGCATATTTATTTATATTTAGTGTGTGTGTATTACATATCAAATTTACATTGAGAAATGTGTATATATACAGTACATGTATAAAATCATATGAATAAAATGAATCTATTTTTTATTTCAATGATTTCACATATACACATTATATATATTGTAGCGAATTTAGCTCACAACAGGAAATATGAATAATTCGTTCTTAGAATTGACAAGACGGTTGACCCTGAGTGGTCAGCTAAATATCTACAGTGGATCTAAAATATGAATAGTACTAGTTAACTAGTTATGGTTAATTATTCATATTTCCCCATGAGCTGATCCGCTACAATATATACATACACACACACACACACACACACACACACACACAATACATTTGTGCTGATAACCTATGGTGTATGATGGACAATTGATTTATAATTTACAAGATAAAGATCAACAAATGTCAAAACAGCTCTGGTCTGATCAGGCAAGTGACAGTCAGTCCAATCAGCTGCCTCGAATCTCTCTCACTCTGACCCCAGGCCATTCGGCCATCCTTATTGTCAAGCCCTGTGTCACTGTCAGATGCCCTCTTGCAATATTTACCTAAACTTGAAATTGCTTTCCGATATGAATTCTGCTTTGTGGATTTGGTATGTGAAAAGCACCACCATGCAAACATATTGCTGCCAGTTTTTAGCTCATTGGAATTTAAAGCTTGTTTGGACGTCTGCACACAAGATCTGGAGATGTAACCTATTGTACAGAAAAATGAGCCAGCCAACTGAAATTGAAAATCAAGATGAGCCTTGTATAATATTTCTGCCGATTGTTGTAGTTCTTTCTCATACAGCGTAGACACTCACCATCATTTTTTAATGCACTGTGTCATTTATTTCAGAGCTGTGAGGTCTTGTAAAAGCCTCCTGTCGGTTGTGAATGCTCTAGACAATTTAGCTGGAGTGAGGAGACTGGGGATAGTTCTGCCTTCAAGAAGGCGATTACGTTTTACATAAAAATATTTTTTGTATATTTATTGTGTATTTTACATAATAAATATTCATATGTTAGGAACACTTTTGTACGTTTTAGGGATGTACACTTTAGCTACTAATATGTACTTTCAAGGTACCAAAATGGACCATTTAGGTACCAAAGTGTACCTCTTGAAAAGGCACTGCCCCAGTGATTGCTTTTGTACCTTTTTTTCTGAGAGTGAAACCAAACAGTTTCAGCTCCCATTGACTTCCATAGTATGGAAAAATGCATACAGTACAGGTTTGGAATAATAATTTTAATAATAATTTATGCAATTAGCAGACGCTTTTATCCAAAGTGACTTACAGTGCATTCAGGTTATACATTTTTTACCAGTATGTGTGTTCCCTGGGAATCGAACCCATGACCTTTTGTGCTGCTAAAGCAATGCTCTACCACTGAAAATGTATTTATTTATTTTAAATGTATTTATATATTATATTATATGTATAATTTATTTATTATTATTATTATTATTATTATTATTATTAGGAATGAGTAAATGATGACACAGTTTTCATTTTTGGGTGGACTGTCCCTTTAATTTAGTAATGCATACCTGTCGATTGAAAATCTGAATGTTGTACAATAACTAATTATGGTTTTGGTAAGACATGGTTGTTTTAAGAAAAGAAATGCACCTACGATAAACTCAGTATGTGATGTGGATCATTTATAAGGAGGTTTAGCAGTCTGCAAATGCACACGGTGTGTACAGTGACATGAAATGTCAGGATAAATAAAGTAATTGCAATAATGGCTAATAGGAATTACCTTTCA